GGTAGACTTACTCTTGGAGTAAGTGGATCCCTCCTCTCTCTTTCTCTATATATATGTATGTATGTATGTGTGTTTACACACACACACACACACACACAAGCTACTTATATATATATCACAATACTAAAAAAAACATAAAACAGAAGCTACACACACACACACAAGCTACTTATATATATATCACAATACTAAAAAAAACATAAAACAGAAGCTACACACACACACACAAGCTACTTATATATATATCACAATACTAAAAAAAACATAAAACAGAAGCTACTTATAGATTGAATATTTATATACAAGTGATAAATATCTACAACAAAAGAAATTGAATACACGCCCTAGGTGTTTGTCAAACACTCTAAACACAAGTTGTATCAAAATAGCTTCACCACAAAACACCATCATTTGTTGGCCCTTTACCTAATCTTATGATGGCAAAACTACGTGAAGAAGATAGGCAATCCTCCTTTGGTTTTGCTCAGACCTTGGAGTTCTTCCTTGAACCAAATTCTGGACGTTTAAATCCAAAAAAAAAAGGAGAAGAGAAACAGAATTGAAGAGAGAGGAAGCACCAAAGCAAAGTGAGCAATGGATTGCTCACAAATGGACTAGAACCTAGAAGCTCTCAAGGAACTTTTCTAAGCATGCAAGGAGACTTTGAGGAGAGAATGAAGCTGAATCGATGTTGATCAGATTTCTCTGTAAGGTTCAAAGTGTTTACAAAGAGTGAAGGAACATGCTTTTATAGATCCGGGAAGCAAGCTAGATGGCGCCAACTTCACAAGCCATAATTGGCGCCAAAGATTAAAATTTCAAATGGAAATTTGAATTCAAATCCAAGGCCTCCATGTGCTTCTCCGTGAAGTTAGGGCTGCCATGCATCTAAATGTCATTTAGGGGACATTTGAAGTGTATTTGGACGTGCACATGTTCAGCCATGCTTGGCAAGAAACATGTGATCCAAATGTTTCTCAAATGACTACTAAATGAAACCTAGATTTTAGCTTCTTGGCCTATTTTAGTATTCCTTCAATATTCCTATGCTAATGGCCTAAATACAATGGCCAACCTATCACAAACACTAAGAAATAATAAAAGAAACAAAATGAGCCCATATTGGGTATCAAAAGCCCAAAGGCCCATAAAGCCAAAAAATAAGCCCATGAAGCCTAAGGCCCAAAATCCTATTCTAAGTGGTCCAAAATACAAGACCAAAAGACATGAAACCTATACTACTCATGAACACAATAATGATGGCAGTCAATGTAAACCCCATGTGAAGAGTACCCTGAGCCCACCAAGCTCTGAAGCAATCAAATCTTCTAGTAACTCTTGGCCATGACTCTAGTGGTTGGACCCTTGGTCCATACTCTTCCATCATCTTAACTTGCTCATACCAAAGTATGATAATCACATTCCTACGCACAAAAAAGCAAGGGTAAGGTTGTGTAACAAGAAAACATCATATAATAGAAAGCAATAGCTATTTATATCACTATAATCAACTTTCATCATGTAAACATCACAGAAGACAACATATCAACTCAGAGTAGACAACTCGCAACACAATTATTCAACTTCAACAACAACTTCATATAAAGCATACAGTCTATCTCATATACATTAAATGCTTATTATTTATTGAGACTAATGATAAAAGCTTCTTAAATGCTTCATTCCTTAACAGATCAAACTAGAAGATTATCTTGGAACTCATAAATCTGTTAAAGAAAGCAAGATCATACTTTTCATCAGGACTAAAGACAAAGATCCTTAGAATCACGAAGAAAAGCAGATAAAGTCACTACTACTATTGCACTACGCTTACATTGCTTCTACAAGTTCTGTTTGGTATGAAAAGTTGATAAGTAGCCTCTTTAATCAGATAAGAGGTACCATTTGGTGAAATACATTTATTGCTCACATTAAATGAGACGAATGGTTACCTACCATTATAAGGAAAGGCGATGAAGATAGGTGAAGCAAACTTGTGAGCTAGCCTCAAAGTGTTGCAACAATTATCTTCTTTGAGCTACTATATAAGAGGATTTAAAGCTCAATAAAGAAAGATAGAGACATATATACATGAGATAGAACAAACATATCAACACACTTGTATAAAAGCATACTCTTTGTAAATTTATTCTTTCTCATAAACATTTGTTTTATACTAGTTGTATAAAGTCTATGTGAGATGAATACAATACTTGTGTAACCTTCATATAATCATTGTTATAAAGTTGAGCTTAGACAGACTTGTTTGAAAAAGAATACTTGTTTTGAGCTTAGAAATGCTTATCTAAAAAAGAATGCTTGTTTTGAGCTTGGAGAGGCTTGTTTGAAAAAGAATAATTATTTTGAGCCTAAAGAGGCTTATTTGAAAAACATACTTGGTCATTAAGCATGAAGAGGTTTATTTGAAAAAAATACTTGGATGTTAAGCCTAGAGAGGCTTGTTGTTAAAAGAATACTTGGATAGTCGCTTAAAGAGACAAGTTAAAAAATACTTAGGGTTGAGTCAGAAGTGACTTGTTGAAAGAATACTTGTATCTTTGTTTAAAGATAGTGGAACTCAATTTAGTTGGATTAAGAAATGGACGTAGTTTCGGTGGTTGAGACGAACCAGTATAATAAAAATACCCAGTGTTCCATTTTACTACTCCTCTTGCTTCATATGACTAGAGTTAATACTTTACTACGAAAAATGTGCGAGTTTTGATACACACTATTCAACCTCCCTTCTAGTGTTTATCTTTTCTCCACACTTTTCCAGTACTCGATTAAGGATTTGGCTCCAAACTTTATGCCTTGCTCATTGGTCACTTTACAAAACAATATGGCTTAGCTTTGCCCTTATATTGTACCAACAAAAAATTTAGAGGAAACAACTTTTTAAAACAACTTTCCACTTCAGGAGTCAACTCTTTTTGAACAATTTTTATCTTTGGGCTCTTAAAGCATCAGAACTTAGATCATCACAATGGGATCTATCAACACAAGAAACAACTTACTTTCCTTTGGTTTTAAGTTCAATTTCACAACATAGGAAGCACACATCATGCATAATCAACTCAAACAAGACTTCTCTTATACAACACAACATATCTCAACTCAACACCACACACACATACACACACACATATATGTATATATATATGCACACACATCATCACCATCTTATAATATAAGTACGTCAACATACTTCCACTTACAATATGTAATAAACAACTAACAACTCAAAGAAC